TGGGGAGAAAAGGGAACACTCTTGCACTGCTGGTGGGAATGTGAATTGGTACAGCCACTATGGAGAACAGTATGGAGGTTCCTTAAAAAACTACAAATAGAACTACCATATGACCCAGCAATCCCACTACTGTGCATATACCCTGAGAAAGCCATAATTCAAAAACAGTCATGTACCAAAATGTTCATTGCAGCTCTATTTACAATAGCCAGGACGTGGAAACACCCTAAGTGTCCATCATCGGATGAATGGATAAAGAAGATGTTGCACATATATACAATGGAATATCAGCCATAAAATGAAATGAAATTGAGCTATTTGTAATGAGGTGGATGGACCTAGAGTCTGTCATACAGAGTGAAGTTAAGTCAGAAAGAGACAGACAAATACCTCATGCTAACACATATATACGAAATCTAAGAAAAAAAACAAAAAATGTCATGAAGAACCTAAGGGTAAGACGGGAATAAAGACACAGACCTACGAGAGAATGGACTTGAGGATATGGGGAGGGGGAAGGGTAAGCTGTGACAAAGTAAGAGAGTGGCATGGACATATATACACTACCAATAGCTAGCTAGTGGGAAGCAGCCACATAGCACATGGAGATCTACACTACCAATATATAAAACAAATAAAGGCAATATGAGTTCCCAGATATAACAACTACTTATTATAGTGCCAATCAATGTGTGTGCATGGAGGGGATTTTATGAAGACAGAAAATGGAATGTCATGTAAAAAACTGTTTTGGATTCTGGATTTTGCTTTTATTCCTGTCATTAATTTTATTCTAACCTTTGATTCCACCATAATGCTACTGGGCATATATACACTACCAAATGTAAAATAGATAACTAGTGGGAAGCAGCCGCATAGCACAGGGAGATCAGCTTGGTGCTTTGTGACCACCTAGAGGGGTGGGACAGGGAGGGTGAGAGGGAGGGAGACGCAAGAGGGAAGAGATATGGGAACATATGTATATGTATAACTGATTCACTTTGTTATAAAGCAGAAATTAACCCACCATTGTAAAGCAATTATACTCCAATAAAGATGTAAAAAGAAAAAAAGACATATCAACCAAAAAATATATTAAAGGTGATTCATGGAACTCTGACATGGGGTTTTTGAAGTGTGTGTGTGTGTGTGTGAATCTCTTTAAGAAATGATTTCATGTGCTCAACACTTGTAATGTTAAAGAAATCTGAACTATTTTTGACTTAAAATTAAATATCCTTTAGAGTTGAACTAAACCTCAAAATCATGATACAAATATTATACTCTTACTTCATCTTAATGTTTATTAAAAACCTACTATTTATTCAAAATCAAGCTAGGGACTGTGAAGAAGCACCAGACCAGGACTCAAGGTTTATAATTAGGCTGTGGGCAAATGAAAAATACACATGTTCTGTTTAATAAATGGTCCTCATGGTGGGGCGGGTAGGGGTGGTCTCTGAAATCTTTAAACAAACACTTAGCTCTTAACTAAATAAAGTTGGTGTTATAGGCAAGGAGAGAGTTGGAACCTAGAACTGAATCCAGTTGATTCCAAATCACCTCACCAATTTAGAAAATCACAGCATTAAATAATATAACATGCTTTCACATGCAACAACTGTACTAGACATTTTTCTAGGTAGAGATAGGTTAATAGCGAAGTGTGATATGGTTGAGGAGACAATAAATAAATAAAAAACAATAGAAAGTACGAAACAATATATGGCAGAAGGTAGATCATAATTCAAATGGAGGTATGAACAATACAATCTATAAGTATAAAGGGCAAAAATATTATTGGGGGATGGAGTGGTTGGAGACAGAAAGTCAAAAAACGATGAGCAGTACCTAGCTAGGAAAAGAAGTGATAATATAGAGCAATATTATTAATTAACATTACTAATTAGTAATTAATTACATGATAAAATTTGTTCTAAATACAATCAGTGATTGCTTTGACATGACTTTGGGAGGGGAAGGAGAGAAAACTGAGCCTTAAAGCATAAGCAGAGAGAAAGGACATAGCTGATCCAAGTGGGCAAGTCTTGACAATGGTCTGAATGGAAGGAATGACAACAAGGACTAGATGGTTAGTGTAACCTAATCTATTTCTTTTCTTTCTTTTTTTTTTTTATACAGCAGTTTCTTATTAGTTATCTATTTTATACATATTAGTGCATATATGTCAATCCCAATAAGGTGCTAGTCCTATAGTAAGGGCATAATGGAGGACTCAGTACTTAGCTTTCCCTTGGCTCAGCCCCATCCTCTCAAGCTATATATATACTTAACTCAGTTCCAGTCTTAGACCTGGACCTTAAGAAAGTCCTGACCTAGCCCCCACTTCTAACAGGGTTATCTCACTTAAATCCCTTCTACAAAAAAATTCAAGAGTGCCACTTTTACAATTGGGGAAAAGAGCAGAATCCTTAATTCAAAACTAGCTGCGAATTCTGTCTCTGCCACAAATTAGTTGAGACATTGGGCAATAGTGATGGTTCATACAGCCCAGGCCTTCCAAAGCCAGGGATTCCTCTCCCATCCTTGCCAATCCTTTGAACAAAAGCTACCTTTACCAGAGCCTGTAGCTTTTTGAGGTCAGTTTGTTTAAAAAGAGAATTTTAAAAAGAAATCTTCATAATATTTAAAAACGAGCAAACACTTCATAACCATTTTAAAACAGTAATATTTTAAAATATTTATAGTTTGTCTAAAGGGATGTAAAAGAGAATTCTCCATAAGAGCTTACCTTCAATTTAACACTTAAAGAAACAAACTGCTTTTAAAATCTCCTTCCTTTCCTGTTTTTTAAAAAAAGTAATCATAAACAAATTTTAGCCTTTCCACATTTGTGGGGAAAGTGGTGCTGAGTTAGTACTGACTTAGTAGCCAGATTATAAACTTTCTGCCTAAACATTCTATCACAATTAGGAATGCCACATGCCCTAAATTCAACTCAGCTTGCCGTGTCAGACTGACTCTCTACACCATTTCTTCCACCATCATGTGCAGTTTTGGAGGGACTGTGCTACTCTGGCCAAGAGGTAGACCCCTGGCCTCCCCAGACCAACCAGCCTCTCTTCAGAGATACAGAGTCATGAGAGGAACCATACAGAGACATAAACAGCTGGAGAGAATCTGTCCCACTAATAGCACTCTGAGGAGATTGTCCCTTAAATCCAGGTGTCTGGAGTTGTTCCAGTTCTTTCTACAGCCCCTTTGTTTGGTCTTTCCTTGAATTCCATGTGCTACTACCTGCCATCCCATTCAATTCTGTTTCTGCCTAAGTTAGCCTGAGACACACCCCACTGATTGCAACTAATAAACTCTAACAGATATGTCATATATGTCCTCACGGTAAATGCCACATTACTTTAGAAGATCTGAATGAGTCTCTATTCCTAGTAACTAAAGGTATCCCACTCAAATGTCTTAATAATGTGTCCTTTGGGTATTATAATGGGTAATGTAACAAGAGTAATGGTTTAAAGATTATGCTTTTCTTTTTGGCCTTTCCACGTACAAGACTGCCCAAACTATTCCAGGTATCCCTAATGATATTGCTTCTGTCATGTACAGCAGAAATGTGCAACAAAACAATATCCCTGCATATAAGACTGTTGCCTTGAGAAAGGATCTGTCTTTCAAGAAAACCCTTTACCACCCTCCATTAGCATATAAACAGCTAAATTTAGATGACTCAGCCCATAAATTTCCCTTTGTAAATTAAGAGTAATGACTGACTGCTATTAGGCCTTTGCTGGAATCAGGAATAAGATACAATGTAGGAACAAAATTAAAGCCTACCTCCTTCTGTCCTAGAGGAAAAATTGGAAGAAGTCTCAGAGAGAGAAGCAAGAAAGTAAAATAGCCAGAAGAATCAGGTCTTAAGTTCCCCTCTTTTAGGGTATGGCTTCGGAAGGGAGACAAGTGTCAGGTAAGCGGAAACAATCCTTGGGCAGAGGGGTCTTCTGTTCCCCTCCCCTCAATATGGACACAGGGAGGAAACTGTCCTGCAGCAACTTAGGAAACAACCAGGTTGACAAGATGACATGATACCGGCAGGCAGAGGGAGGCCTGAGGTTTAACTCTCCTGAACTACCCTTGGTTTCTGTGTCTTGTGACATGGAAGTGTCTCAGTGAAGTCTATCACAGGCTATTCACATAGTGAGGAGAGGCTGCTCTGTAGTGAGAGCACCACAGACCACTTGAGCCAGGGCCAAATGGGTGTCTCAGTCAGACTTTGGAGGGCTATCAGTCAAGTTTAGGTTGGATCATCCAGGAAGCACCACCAGAGAAAAGTGCCTTGGCCAAGAGAATGAGCTGTAAGTTCACACACTACAGGCCAGAAGAGCATCCAGCAACTAGGTGAACAAGGGACGTCCTTCCACTGGCGAGCAGCTGCTGTGCCAACATGTACATTCCAATGGGCTAGCATGACATCAGGGGCCCCTTACCCTGGTGCTTTAAGGAAAGCACCTTGTGTGAAAGCCACACAACCTCTTCTTCCATATACTACCTGAAGGAAACCAACAGAATACAGGAGAGTCTATCTGAGAGAAATAATGACCTAAAATAACTATTTAAATGATCAGATCAGACTAAGCTTTGAACTGAATTGGACATTCAGTTATTTTCCCCCCAGATCCAGTGGGCAAGAGCTCAGGAAGAAGTAATATTTGTGTCAGAAAATAACTCGGAGTCATTTAGTAGTTATTTTGCACACAAATTGTGTCCACACACATGAGAGAATCTGTTTACAGACTGAGCCAGGAACAAAGGCAAAAACAGTATTTATAAAGCAAAGGAGAGAAATAAAACACAATCAGACTGTACATTTTGGGGGGAAATTGATAAGCTGGTAATTACTAAATTGAGTAAATCAAATAAGGGTATCAAGGCAACCATTTTATTGTTTATGGATTCTTGAAAAAAACTTCAGAGTTCATCTGAGAAGCACTTATGTGGCAGGCTGCTTCTGAATTATGTCTACTTACCCTACTATTTTTGTTAGACCAGCCCTGCGCCATTTCCCGCACTAGAATGTTTCATTATTTTACACAGAGTAATGAACTGCATTTTTTCTCACCCACTAAAACAGCTATCTGAATCAGAGAGCTCCTTGAGAACCATAGTTAGGATTCTGGAGCCCAGAGAGGGTAAGTCAGATGGGCCTCTATCCTTCTAGAACAGTGTCTGAACATGTGTTAGGCTGGGTGTGATACACCTTACATCTCCAATAAGCCTATTTTCAATCATTATTTCCCACAGTGATGGGGGAAACGTCTCCATCAATCCTTTGTCACCCAACTTTGGTCCAGTCTCATTTGTGAAGCCCACTCTTGCTTTGTCTTCCCCTCGTGTGCATGTATGAGCCAAAATATACTGCCATATCCTATAGATGGTGCCCCTTCCTCTCTCCCTTCTTTCACTCTTTTATCTAGTATATTTACTGAATGGTAGTGCTGATACAAACAATGCACTATACTGGTTCCAGTGATACAAATATTGATTAGGTGACTCTGTACCTTCAGAGGGCTAACAGTCCATTGAGAATTACACTTCCACAGTCAGCATTTCCCTAATTGATTTCATTATGTTTGTTCCTGGGGTAAGGTACCATGTCTTATGATTCTTTTACATCCCCTAATAAATAAACCATAACAGGAAGATAGCAGACATTCAATAAACACCTGTGATGGATTAGTGATGGATGAAAATCCTCAAATTGTAAGTACTTTTATTTTTCATTGGACAACTTTCCTAAACTATGTGCTGTGTATTGTGATATAGGGATTTTTCAGTCAAATGATCTTCTGAAACACTAAGTTAAACCAAGACAAATGGGTTTCTTTATAGCATAGCTCCTAGGAGGTTTTAAGATAAATATGAGATAACATGAGAGCACCTCGGGATGTCCAGCAAGATATACTTTCAGGTATGTGTCAAGAGACCAGCGATTCTCAAGTTGGTCTTGAAAGTTGAGGAGCTATTCAAGAGTGAGTACAAAAGTGACTCAGTACCCAGACACAGGGAGAACAACTCTGTCCATCGTCAGCTTGGCTCAACCCTGTCTGCTGTGCTTCCCCCAAACTAATATATAATTCTTCCATGTAATTTGTTTGAGCCTTGAGGAAAAAATTCCCTAATGCATCTAAAAACTATGACCAAGAAATTTTTGGAAAAAAGGAGAAATAGTAAAACTAGTATTAAAACATACCTTAAAACAAAAATCACTAAAGCAGTGTATCACACTGTGTACCATGACAGATGACAGAACTAAAGATCAGGCCAAAATAGACACAGCTTATATACTTAGGGCTTTATTACATGTTACATGTAACACAAGTCTAAAATCTCTTAGTCACAATTACAAAATTCAAAAATTTCTGAAAACTGAATTTTTTTTAGAACTTATCAGGTAGCAAAACCTAGCAAGGACTGATTTATAGACATTACTTATATCACTTAGTGTGAATGTTTTACTGTGAAAATATTAAAGTACTTTAGTACAGGGAACTGTTTCAGACCCCACTACAGTTTTTATACACTATATGGTCTATGTGCTACATTACTTTCTAAAATCCCAAACATTATGAGTTCCAAAATACATCTAGCCCCAGAAAGTTCAGAGAAGGGGTTGTGGTCCAAATTTCAATTCAAAAAGGAAAGGGATGGATTTTGTAAGTAGTATTGTAATGAACAACTGACTAACATTTTAGAAAAATATGTTGGATCCATTTTTTTACTTTAAACACTTTTAGTGACTTAAAGATTTAAATATAATTATTAAAGTGCTGGAAGATAATATAGTTGAATTTGTTGAGTCTGAAAAGAAAATGTCTCTCTAAGTCTTACATGGATAGATTTAAGTAAATGAAAGTCTTAAACTTCTGTATCTCAAAAAGGAGCTTTAATAAAATCAAAAAGCAACAATATACTGAGAAAATATTTGCAACATGACAATAGGTTAATATCCTTAATATGTAAAGAACACTTTTAAGTAGACTAAAAAAAATAATTAAGAAAAAGATAAACACCAAGGAAAATAGGAGCAAAGGAAATGAACACTCAATTCATTAAAAAAATACAAACTGCCAAAGAAAACATACACATAAAGTTCAATATTACTACTAATAAAATAATTCAAACTAAAACAATGAGATGATGTGTTTAACTTACTGACTGGTCAAAAAATTTTTTCAACTGATAAGGATTAGTGAACTCAAGGAATACTGAATACAGGGAAACTGGCACTTTCACGTATTGCTAATGAAAACATAAATGTTACAGCTCATTAGAGGAACCTTTGGCAATGTATATGAAACCTTTAAAATGCGCACAACCTTTTATCTGGACATTCCACTTCTAGGAATTTTTCAATAGGAAATAATTATGGATATGCACCAGAAAACTGGCTAAAATGATGACAAAACATTGCTTTGCAAGAGTAAAAAAAATTGCATGCATAAATTTAAAAATTAAGAAGATTAGTAAAATAAAGCTTTTGACTAGAATATCATCATCCATTTAAAATAATGCTATGGAATATTTAATAATGGGAAATGTTAACAATATACTACCTGAAAAAATTGTCTCCGAAAGTAAACAAATAAGGGAACTTCCCTGATGGCACAGTGGTTAAGAATCCGCCTGCCAATGCAGGGGACACAGGTTCGAGCCCTGGTCCAGGAAGATCCCACATGCCACGGAGCAACTAAGCCCATGTGCCACAACTACTGAGCCTGCGCTCTAAAGCCTGCAAGCCACAACTACTGAGCCCATGTGCAACAACTACTGAAGCCCACGCACCTAGAGCCCATGCTCCACAACAAGAGAAGCCACCACAATGAGAAGCCCACACACCACAACGAAGAGTAGCCCCCGCTCACCACAACTAGAGAAAGCCCGCGTGCAGCAACGAAGACCCAACACAGCCAAAAATAAATTAATAAAGTAAATAATATTTTAAATATATATCAGTATATGAGAAGGTTATATATTAAAATATTGAGAATAACTACTGAGACTGGCACGACTGTGGATGGTGTAGCTTTTTTCTTATTTACATCAGTTTATCTCTATAAACTAAATTTGCTACAATATTAATACATATACATGCATGAATATTGCAATTAAAAAACAGACTCTTTAATATTGCTTCTCTTCCTGTCACCCACCAATATATATATGTTACTACTCATTTTTAAAATGTCTTCTGTCCACATTTGTCCCAACATAATTATCTTTTCCCTCATTTTATTTCAATCTTTGAAAGATAAAATATAATTCAGAAGAAAACAAGAAATTTACAAAAAAAGAGATAAAAAAGATAAAATACTATTAACACCTTTGCTTTCAAATTACCAACAGCCTGTTAAACTTTTTTGAGAGGCTGGGTAGTGTAAATTAATGCAGGGCAATGGAAGGTTTATGAATTCTTATTTAATAATTGCATTAAACTATATTTACTGCTTCTTAAAAGTGAACTGAAATGAGAGCAAAGACTGGGTAGAGATAAGGGTGGGATTCTCATTGTCTACTCTGTCACACTGTTCTGAGCACTGGGGATGCACTATAGCATTTAATCCTCAAAAACGCTTCAGGAAGTCCTGTAAATGATGCTTAAAGAGGTAAAGTAACTTGCTTGTTAACACACAGTAAAGAAATTTAAAGAACTGAGATTCAAATCCAGGCATGTCTGACTCCAAGGCCCATGGTTTTTAATTACATCTTGGATACATCAGGAAATATGATTTAAAAATGGAGGAAATAGCTAGATAGTAACAAATTGGCAAATTCTTCCTTCGTACTAGAGTATTTGATTATGAAAGCTCAGAGTTAAAAATCAGAATTCTATTTATATGAATTGACATTTGATGACATTAATAAGAAAATAAATTACATGTGGAGACTTTAGGAGAATTTTTTTTAGGTTTGTACAATAAAAACCCCACAAACCCTAGATTAAGATCCACTGACTGGCAACAGCTATCATCAAACGTAGTAAAGTACTTGTGTATAATTCCTTGCCAAACATTCACTTCATCTCTAGGATTATCAAAATTAACACCCAATGTTATTTTTCCACTCTGAAAATTTCTATTAATGCATTCTAATACAAATGATTAGTACAATTAATGAGAACTCAGAGGTACTGTTAATAGTTTTGTATTTAATAGCTTGGACCTCTTCCTATGCACATATATAGAAATATAAGTACATATAAAATATATGGATTTTATGTTTACAGAAATGGTATCACCACCATATTATTTGGCAACTTGCTTTTTATTGCATGGCAATGTCTTCAGCTGTCCCTTACAAAACATCTTAAGCAGATCTAGAACTACCTAGTACTTACAGGCATTAAAATTTCATCCAATCTTGTTCAAAATTTCAGTGTCATGCCTGATTTCAAGCCCTCCTCTAATCATAGTACAAGCTAGATTTGTGACATGAGCAGTTTGGGATGGGGAAAGAAGCACATTGGCTTTTTATTTTCATACTTCCTCAGTTCTTCTGCTGTTGGGAACACATCACTTTTGCTCCCATTTCACTAAAGAGAACTTAGTCACAGGGCCACCTCCAACTGCAAGTCAGGCTGGGAGATAGTGTCGCCAAGGTCAAAAAGGGAGAATGATTCTGCTGGAAGGCTAGAAGTCTCCAACACACTGCTGCTCTATATAGGGTGACCACGTGATCTACTGTCCAACCAGGACACGCTTGAGAGCTAAATAATTCAGCTGAGATAAAAACTGAACTCTAAGACTGTTTGGGGAAAATTTTCTTCTCTGCTTAATAAAGTCTTCGCTAACCTCTCTTCAGGTTGCTTTTCCCAAGGCAACCTGTCATCCCTTTTGTGCTGCCAGAGCAATCTATTCATAACTCTAGCACACCAGCTCATACATTTGTATGATTAGTTATTTACTATCTTTCCGTCTATTAGGATGGGCCTGTACTCTCCACTCTGCACCCTTGGCCATCTTTAAGGTTACTGATCCTTTTCCTGTTCCATTTGGTCCTGGTT